ATCACCAGCATTACATCACTTATTATAGCAACTTATGGGGTGGAGTGGGCACCCCAACCCAGGCCACTCTCGGTGCTCTCCTCGAGCAGTTACTTATTCCTTGGTGGTCACTCCACGTCTTCACTGTCCCCAGGGATCCAGGCAATTAGCAATCCCCAGTCAGAGACTGACAACTGCCAGAGATGGGGTTTGAGAGTTTCGAAAGGGCATTTTTACCGCAGTGACCTCGGATCTCGGTGGGAGGCAGGCGTGATCTTTACCTGAGACCTAGGACTCAGAGGGGGAAGGGGCCTGAATGTGGACTGGGAGTGGAGGGAAGGTTCCCTCTGGTGTCTGGGGGTCAGACGTCCACCTGGGAGCTGACCCTCCCGCCTCAGGGCAGCGTTGACTCAGGAATTGGAAAGCCTGTGTCGAATGCTCCTTCGCCCGACACGTACCTACCTGTGGTTTTCAAACCACGCTCATATCTGCACATCTCCCTTGTTGCTAGTGATCCACACGGGCACACGAGGCTGTTTCTCCTTGTTCTTTGACATTTGTGCTTATCAGAACCGGCATCTAATAAGAGTTGGTATCTCGGCAAGCTCCCGAGTTCCAGGGCCTCCTCCCAGCGTGGCGTCGCCGGCTCACTTTATGTCCTCCCTTTTCGGGAAGGAGAACCGGGATGTGTGTCTGGTGTTTTTTTTCTGTTGGTTTCTGCCTCGTTCTTTGGGGACATACAATCCCATGAGCAGCAATATCTCACGAGAGGCAATCACCGAAGCAACATACGTGGGAGGCCTGTGGGCCTGTGTGCGTTTGTGTGCGGACGTGAGTATTGGGGGGTGGATACTCTTTGCCCTGTTGGGGGGACTGACACAGCTGACACACCCAGGACTTGCCCCCCAGCAGAAACCCTCTTGACATAGTGGTTCCTCTCAGACAGGGTTCCCTGTACCCCGTGCCCAGCACATAGTAGGCATCAGTCATCGCGTGCGGAATAAACACACAGGATCTGGCCCTCCACACCTACCCTGTCCAAGACGGTAGTCACCAGCCCCTGTGGGGGTGCATTTGAAAACAGTGGTTGGTTCGATTGGATATGTACTTTTAAGTGTCAAATGGATATTGGATTTTGAGACGATGCAAAAAAAAAACCACTTAATTTTATATTTCATGCTTGAGTGATACTATTTTGGGCATATTGGGTTAAATATATATTATTACATCTGATTCACCTGTCTCACTTTACTCTTCTTTGTGCGGCCGGTAGGAAATGGAAAATCCCATCTGTGACTTGCATCCTATTTCCTCTGCACAGAGCTGCTCCAGACGCAGCCTGGCCAGAGATGTTGGGCTCCAGAGTCCCAGCTCCCCCCATGACCCTGGGCTAACCCCTAGCTTCCCAGAGCCTGAGTTTTGTTGCCTGTGCAAGGCTGCGGATCTGGAAAGCAGCGCACAGTAGGTCCTGTGGTCGGAGCTGGCACGGTTGCAGCGTGCTGTCTGCGCTCAGGTCCGAGCCAGGCGACCCCGCCTGCCCTTTCCCCACTTCGTTCCTCCCTCCCGCCTGGAACACCCTCCTCTCCTCCTGGGGCAGCTTCCTCCAGGCCCCCCAGGAAGCTCTCCCGAGTGCCCACCCATGCCCTCTGGCCTTCGTTCATCCCCAGGACTGAAGAGCTGCGTGGGGCCAGTCCTGCGCTGGAGACAGGAAATCAGGCCCCCGGATGAGCCTCTGACCCCGAGTCCCAGAGCCTACAGGCTGGTCTGAAACGTCCCTTCACAGGCAGGCACCGCACCGAGGTGAGAACAGGGCGTAGTCTGAAGGCTCAGCCCTCAGTGGACCCCGTGGTGCCTCTGCGCTTCCCGGCACCTGTGGGCACAGGGTCGGCCCCTCCGCCCAGGTAGCTAGGTCACATCCCAGGGAACTCAAAGGACAGCCCCTGAGCTCCCAGGTAGAGAGACTGCCACCCACAAATAATTATTCAAACAGGGATTCAGTGCCAGCGCGATGTGCGATGTGTGCCGAGATGGAAAAGAACAGGATGCTCGGGAAAGGGGTACCGGGGGACCTCGCCGGGCCTGGGACCTGAGGGAGATGTCTTATCTCGGGGAAGTTGGGGAAAGGGCACATGCTGAGTGGTGAGATGCTGAGGAGGGGGCAGGTCAGGGTTGGAGCCTGGGGCAATGTCCTGGCCTTCATGCTGCAGAAGGCCATTCAAGGGGGTGTTGAGGGAGTGAAGGGGGTGAGTTACCTTTTTATTTTTTTTAAATATATTTTATTGATTTTTTTACAGAGAGGAAGGGAGAGGGATAGAGAGTTAGAAACATCGATGAGAGAGAAATCGATCAGCGGCCTCCTGGACAGCCCCTGCTGGGGATGTGCCCGCAACCAAGGTACATGCCCTTGGCCGGAATCGAACCTGGAACCTTTCAATCCGCAGGCCGACGCTCTATCCACTGAGCCAAACCGGTCAGGGTGTGAATTGCCTTTTTAAATGATCACTTTGGCTGCCATATCCCCCGTGAGCAAGGCGGTGCTGGGCAGAGGAAAGGAGATGGAGTGTGGAGCAGTGGTGATGGATGGAAGTGGGGGTTCTCAGTGTAGGCTGGACATAGGATTGGCAGCACTCCGTGCTGGATGTGGGTTAAAAGGAGGGGGTCTGGAGGAAGGGCCCAGGTGCATGTATCTGGGATGCCATGTTCTGAGATGAGGGGGTGGAAATACTAGGTGTACCGGTTAATAATGTGGATTAGATATTAACCGGTTAAAAGTGCGGGTACCGGTTAAAAGTGCCGATAAGCTATTAACTGGTTAAAATGCGGATTTTGTCATCAAAAGAAAACACGGTAATTTCAAGAGAAACATCAAAAGTGCTTTATTCAAAGTAATGTTCATCGCTAGCTACACATTTCCCCCATCTTTCAGGTAATTTGTGGATACTGTCCCAATAGAATTTTCTTGTTTGAAGGCAAACCATTCAGAGACCCAATTTTCTACTTCTTCGTATGTTTTGAAGTGCTGCTCAGAAAGTATGCCGTGTCTTCTGGCCCATTATGGCCGTTTTACGATCAAAGTGTGGCTCAAATTGATTATTTTTGTCAGTAGCGATCAGTATTAATGGTTTCACCTGGTTTTAGAAGCTCATAATACACCACACCTTCCTGATCCCACCAAACGCAGAGCAGTGTCTTCTTTCCAAAGCGATTTGGCCTTGCAGTCGTAGTTGATGGTTGACCTGGATCAACCCATGATTTTGTGCGTTTGGGATTCTCAAAATAAACCCACTTTTCATCGCCAGTCACAATTCGATGCCAAAAAGACTCTTTCGTGCCATTGAAGCCACATTTTACTGATGACTTTTCAGTTTTCCATTTGTCTTTCATTCAGTTTCTGTGGCACCCATTTTCCTTCCTTTAAAATGGCTCCCATTGCTTGTAAATTTTTTGGCACGAAATTCGACATTTTTAAGCGTAAAAATATCTATGATGTTAACACCTTCAGAAAATTTGACATATCAAGTTTTGAAGCTTGTTGTCAATACAACAAAATAGCATACAGATCAAATCGCATATATATCAACATATGTCTAACTCCATCTATTGAAAAAAACCCATTATTAACCGGTACACCTGGTAGGTCAGAGGAAGACTGGTTTCCCAGCTAGTTCTGGACTTTCTGCTGCTGAGAAATCCACAAAGACAAGCCCCCCCACACACACACACACTTACAGGGTGGGGAAGGGCCAGGGCTCAGCATCCATGGGGCTGCCCAGCTCTGAGCAGAGCGCTGGCTCTGACAGCACCTGCTGGGGGCACGTGAGGAGCCACGGGAGGGGCGAGAACAGTGTCGCTTGCCCACTTTCTGAGTCGCGGGCCATGAACACAGTTCACCCAGATCACAGGTCCACAGACTCTGAAGATGGACAAGCAGCGTTCTGTGTGGGCCGCAGGGACAGAGGGGAGATGTAGCCAGCAGACAGCTGCCCCAGGCAAGGATGGCCTTTGCTGTTGTTGCGCTAACAATGTAATCACAATAGTCATAACTACTATTGATGGGGAACTTTTATTGGCGTCTTATCTGAACCAAGCGCTTCACTTGTAGACATCTGTAAAGGCCTCCGAGGGTCTGGGCCCAGGAGCCTCTGGGCAGGTAGGGGCCTGAGGAAGGTTCCTCTAGCAGCGGCCACGTGGCTCTGGCTAATGGGGCTCCTCTCTGCCCATCCCAGGAGCCCTGAGGATGGCTCACCTGCTGGGCAGCCAGGCCTGCATGGACAGCCTGCGCAAGGACCTCACCGACCTGCAGGGCACCATCGTGGACGTCTTCTCCCGAGCTGGACCCGTGCGCTTTTCCTCCTGGAAGTTTCCGGACCATGTGGCCTGTGACCTGGACATGGTGGCCCTGCTAGAGCACTATGACCACGTGCCGGGGGACCCGGAGTTCACACAGCTGTCTCACGCCGTGCTCTTGGAGCTGGTCATTGACAGGTGAGGGCCCTGACCAACGTGGTGTTCTTGGGGTGCTGATACCCGCCCCTTAAGCCAATAGCAGCCATGGGATCCCCCTGGTAGCAACGTTGGTAGCAACAATCACCTCTGAGAACCGTTGGGGGCCAGGTCAGCTCAGGGCCCTCACGGTGGTCCCACCTGTGCCGTGGGCTGTGCTGTCCTCTCCCGCCCGCCCTCGGGGAGTTGCCGGCTGCCCTGCTGGGCTCTGTGGCTCCCGGCTCTGACCACGGCCTCTCTGGCTGCTTCCAGCTGCCTCCTCGGGGTTTCTGTGCGTCGGGGACACCACGGCTGCCATTCAGAGTTTCTATCCAGCATCTGTGGGCTGTGCTGTTCCCACTTGTGGGCTGTGTCATGGCCAGACATGGGTGTGTTCTTCCAGACCCTGGCCCTGCTGGGAAGAGGCCAGTGGATTCCTCCACACACACACGCCCCTGACACTTCGATGCTATTACTAACATTAACGTGGTCCTTAGCTTTCCCTTCCTGTTCCCCCTGCTCCGAAACCTTGCACGTTAATGAAGTCATGGGGGCCCGTCAAGCAGGGACCCCAGCAGCTGGGGGATGGCCGGCCTGGGACCAAGAAGCCAGGGTACCACCCAGAGACCTGGGAAGCCCTTGGTGTCCGAGCACCATCTGGAGCCCGTGAGGGGCTGAATGTGTAAGCACAGAGCACCCCTTCCTTCCACCGCGGCTGTGCACGCACTGTGCCCTCTTCCAGGACTGCTCAGCTCCCCTCGTCCATCCAGGTCCTGTGTACGCGTCCCCCGCTGTGACGCTGCTGCGGACAGACATGTCTTCCCACCCCGTTCCTCCTCCCTCTGCCCACCTCCTGCTGAGTTAGCCAGAGCCTCCCTGGCTCCCTGGCAGAGCATGTTCTGAGACACGCCAGGCCCTGATGCCGGGCCAGTTCCCCAGAGCCAGAGGCTGCCGACTGTATGGCAGGAGGGCGCACGAGCATTGGGCGCTGCCCCCGCTGACCCTGCTGTCCCTGCCCACAGGCTCCTGCTGCTGCTTCAGAGCTGTGCCAGCTACTTGGAGACCCTCAGTTCGGAGCAGACAGTGCCCCCTGCCAGGGCTGTGGGGCCCTGCATGTCCGTGGGGCTCACGGTACGGCTCTTCTGGAACAGCCTGCTGAAGCTGGGCATGCTCTACCAGCAGATGCTCTCCCAGGTGGGTCAGCTACCCCCCATTCCCCAACCGTGGTCACCCTCAAACCAGCCCACCTGCCCCAGATTCCTGGCCTGGCACACCGCACATGCCCCGTGCCCACTCCTGGCTCCACCCTGCTGAGGGACAGTGTCAACTCCAGAGCCGCCCAGTCAAGACCATGTGCTACAGCACAGGCCTCGGGGCCACGTCTGGGCTACCGGGCTCTGCTCTTGACCCTGCGAGACTTTGGCAAAACGCTGCCTCCGCTGAACCTCAGTGTGTTCACCTGTACAATGGGAGCAGCGACGGTCCCCACCTCTCAGGGCATTGTTGGGTGACCGTGTTCGCATGAGCACCGTTTGTGAAGGATTAGCCCGTCATCCTCACAACCACCCAGTGGGAAGGACCACTGTCGCCCCGATGGGAGAGGAACGAAACCGAGGGGCCGCGGTGGCACGAGAGCAGTCACACCCACTAGGAAAGAGCCCAGCACCCGCCCTGTGCCTGTCACTGTCCCTCTCCCAGTGTCATGAGCCGGGGCTGGGGGAGCAGCAGGGAGGAGTTCCGGGCTTAGTGACTCGTCGCAGCGCGAAGACAGAAGGTTCTTTCAGTTCACGTTGGTGTTGAGCAGCATCTGAGGGTTTGAGCCTCAGGCAACGCTGTCCCAGAAACCCCCAGGGAAGCGGTCCCCTGTCCACCCCCCCACTTACCTGCTTTCCCTTTCTTTTCCTGAACACAGAAAAGGGCAGCCCAAGGAGAGACCCCCATCTGCAAGCCCACAGCCAAGGGCGAGCCCACCAGGAGCCCCGAGTTTGTGACCGCCAAGTTCATCAAGCCCCCCTCCCCAATTCCAGGCCTGCCCCAGACCTGCAAAGAGCCCAGCAGCCTCTCCGTGCGCGTCTCCCTGCGCTCTCCCGGCAGGACCACGGAGGGCACCCGGAGCGTCCCCTCACAGACGGTGGAGACCGCCCTGGTGCCCTGCGACGCCTGCGCCAGCGTGCAGGGCAGCCTGCGGGAGGTGGGCCGGGCGCTCATCGGCCTGTGTCAGAGCCAGAACCTGCCCTCGTCCTTGGGCCACTTTCAGCAGCTGGTGCAGGATGCCATGGGGCTCAGGCCACTGCCGGCCGCCACGGTGGGCCAGTGGGGGGCAGAGCAGAGCAGA